AAAAAAAATAAATATTACCCAAAACATGAATTCCAAGCATGAATTCCCTAAACTCATTAATAATTTCTAATTTCCACTTACAATATATGTACCATATTTGCTCCATTAAATGCACATCTCTGATAGAAGTGCATAAAAACCAAAAATTGTATGTATTGTATAGTGAATCATTAAAATGTATCTTATTTCCCACATTGAAACACACCTCTGTGATGTACATAATGATGTATCTTATTTCCCACATTGAAACACACCTCTGTGATGTACATAATGATGTATCTTATTTCCCACATTGAAACACACCTCTGTGATGTACATAATGATGTATCTTATTTCCCACATTGAAACACACCTCTGTGATGTACATAATGATGTATCTTATTTCCCACATTGAAACACACCTCTGTGATGTACATAATGATGTATCTTATTTCCCACATTGAAACACACCTCTGTGATGTACATAATGATGTATCTTATTTCCCACATTGAAACACACCTCTGTGATGTACATAATGATGTATCTTATTTCCCACATTGAAACACACCTCTGTGATGTACATAAGCACAATAGAACAAATTCGGCAATGTTCATACAATTATACACATACCTCTCTGAACGTGTTACAACACTAATAGTAAAATATGTGTAACTACAGTACTTACAAATCATAGAAAGATGCTACCCCTGGTATGGGTGAATTCAGCTCTAATCTGTCCAAATAAGACGGCTGAAAATAAAGCTTCAATAAAGCCAGCAGATAACAATGTACTGTGTCTTCTAAGAATAAATCATTTCCTGACAAGAAAAAAGTGACAGCAATGATAATTATCAGTATATACCCATAGAAAAAAGATATTAGTAGGATATTAGTTTTACCCAAGATTTTGTTTTCCCAAATTTTTAATTCAATTGAAGTAGGTATGCCCACATAAATTCACCAGTTATATTCTAAATTACACTTCCATAGTTATGCACAGACTGACATGCTACAAATACTGGTAATACACACAATTCTGCAATTTGTTTAAAAACTGCATTTTTTTTTAATTTATCAATACATTATATATCCCCCAGCGAGACTTTATTAATATTTATCTTCAATATCATCCATGATTGCCCATCACAAATCAAGCTATAATGGCACACATTTCCTTACCCGTTAAGAAAACACACATGAGTCGTGTGATCTTCGCTGACATGGATATATGATTAACGCTCTCAGGTCTCCATGTTTCTAACATGTATATCATTCGGAGTGTGTTCGTGACACCATTCACAAACTGACTTGGTAGGTTCTCAACAGGTTGTCCTAGCAACTCACTAATGATAAAATAAAAGAGAAAGCATAAAGAGTTCACATAAATGGAGTTGCATAATAATGACCATGACCAATACAATGGCAATATTCAGTTCTGGAGTACACACATACATGGTAAACTCAAAGGCTCCCCAATGCCAAAGTGGCTAACTTTAACAGTAGTTGTTTTTCATACTTTAGTGGCAATCATCTTTACATATTTGGATGTATTGGGAAAGCGTAAATTATTAAAAATGTTAAAATATAACTTTGTTAGACAAAATCTGTAACTACAGTTGTTCCATTAAGTGTTCCTGAGAGATAAGTTACTGCATAAAGTGCGGATGACGAAGAAAAGAATCACCATGGTGATATTTAAAAAAAATCATTTCTATGCATCTTATAAAATATTAAATTTAGTAGAAGTATAAATTATGTTTCTATTTTGGTGAAATTTGACTTTTAGAACATTTTTTAATCAATTTTCCAGCCATATAAATATATCCCAAACTAGTCATTACGACTTCTCCTTTACATGGGATTGACAAATATGAAGAAATATGTTCTCACTTTTTGCTGGCTTGGTTGTAGAAGTGCAGTAACGGCAAGTACATCCAGTCCAAGGGCACCAATGATCCGGAGAATTCTGGCAGTATAAATGTTTCTATCTCGTGTGGTATCACCGTGAATAAATTCCTGTGTTAAAAATGAGGACAATTTGAGGATATTACAAGGATATCGAAAAGTATGCATGAAGACAGTACAGCAGGAGAATCAACCAACACGCAGCGGAGGTCAATGCAACCGTGTACTGTCTGAGTGAATATTTTCGGTATCCTTGTACATGTAATAACCTTATTATTTCCTAATATGGTAGGATGAAAATACCTCGTAAAATACCACAAAATTACGACACGCTGTAACTTATGGCATTACAGTGACAGATAATAAGTGGTACATGTATATACAGTAATCATGGAGCTATTATTTATATACTGAAGTTAGTAAATTCCACCAAATTTCCAGCATGAAAAGAGGAAAATACCTATTTAGGTACATGCAATACATTTTTGTGAAATTACATTACTATGAGATACAATTTTACTGGCATACACGGTCTTCGTTTGAAACTCAACAGTATGTGTGATTGGACTTCACAGGAGATAGTGTTACCCAACTGACAGAACAGAAGAAACATGTATATATCGATACACACATTTTGATGACATCACTATGACTATATGTAACATCAACACATGTATTGATGACATCCTAACTTCCACCAACACATATATTGATGACATCATTATCATCAACACATGAATTGATGACATCACTAGCACCAACACATAAATTGATGAACTAAACTGCTTCTACACATACAACCACACATCATTGATAAACCACCACTACCGACACATACATTGACACAAATACTGAAAATGCACTCATTGTTAAAATAGGTTTATTTGTTATTTATAAATTCCAAAATATACACTCAAAAATTGTATTTTTTTCACCAATAAACCAATTCTGATGAACTAATATGTAATCTAATAACTCTTGAATAGACTGGAAAGTATTTGAGTTAGTTTGCATTTGACTCTGTTTTACTACAGTACTACATTTATTTTTTGAACAAGTTGTTGATTTCTGTCCGAGTGTCTGAATTCGGACAATCTCAAAATATTGACTATACCTTGATTTAGCTATGGTTTGTGTCATTCCACCAAAACTTGACATGTAGCAAGCTCTGATACTGGGTAGACTGTTATAAGAATCCCGCAGCAACACACCTCGATTTGGTTCTCTTTTACGCATGGTGTCACATGTGTTCGTTCTTTCACTGGTATCGGACACTCTCAGCAACTCAGCTAGTTCAATGGCTTCAGGGTCACCAATTCTTCCCTCACTATGAGAATAAACATAGCATAATTATTGTAGCCTTGCCACTTGATTGAAATATGCAGTTCCATATTACAGCTCTTTAACATTATGAAGCAAAGCATTCTGGTTAATAGACATCTGTGGGTCATAGAAAACATGTATGCCATAAGAACAAAATCAACACTTCTTGAGATCTGAGTTCTGCAATCCTTGCTTTGATCAAACTTAATTTTTCAACTGTTAATCACTAAAAAACAATCTATAAGTATTCCATCTCATACTATCAATATATTGTATCGGGCTGCCCCTTTACTACCATTGTCAGTTCATATCAGTTCACATATGTCAACAAAATCTTTATAACTGATTAAAGGGTGGTAATCATGACTACATACGTTCAATACGAGTCCCATGCTACACATAGCAACATATTCATTTAGCACACAGATTAATGCTTTGGATGCCTTTGTCAAATTTTCAACACCTTTCACAAAAAAACCCAGCATATTCTTTTTTTTATATTTTATAAATCATGCCCAATTGGTTTAACATTAAAAAAAAAATTATAGAAAAATCCAAAAAAATATTTCGGAAGAAAAAATTATGGCATTGAAGGGGTTAAAGTACTTACACAAGATAGTGCGTATGAAATAAAACCGTTGACATCAAGTCATGGGCAAGGTGTTCATCTCCGGAATGCAAACTAGTAAATAACAATAATGCTACACTGTGGTATAACTTGGAATAGCGACGACAACTTTCAGTTTGCTCTGCCTAGAACAGAAATAACGACAATGCTATTAAAACATTTATTAAAATTGAATATAAATAACAATGTAAAATAGGGTTCAAACAAACAATGATTGTCAATATTATGTTCTGTCAAAGCTTGTGTAAACCATTTCATTTTCATTGATTTCTATTTACACTAAATTTCAGGTTAGGGTTAAATTTCAGGTCATTCATTATGAAACAATGTTGACACTGTGATTTGTTGTCTTTAATATCTAAGATTAAATGTTAAAATTTTACAGACATGTGGTTTCCCTGATTCATGAAGTTAGTGAACATTTTTCTTTTGTGAAATTTGAAAGACAATTTAAAAAAACAAATGACATGCTTATTTGAAAAGAAAGTGTCATAATCCACTATGAGGTTATTACGAGGATACCTCAAAGTATGCACGAAGACAGTACAGTGGGAGTATCGACCGACGCGCAGCAGAGGTCAATGCAACAGTGTACTGTCTGAGTGCATAGTTTGAGATATCCTCAGTCATAATAACCTTATTATTATACATCTTTTCCTACCAAGGATACATCATGGGAATGCCAAAATCCAAAATGTTTAAAACAGAATCAGCGAACTTCTTTGTGTGGAGTCCGGTCAAACCCTGGTGGCAGCCATGTTTGTTTTTATTATTAGAGGACGCTTACGCACGTAATCATTTCATATTTGGAATTTGTATTTCCTAATATGATAGGATGAAAATTACGGCACTCTGTAACTTGGCGTTATGGTGACAAATGTATAATAATGCGTATTATGCATAGATGTAATATGAATAATAATAAACCTTTTACTTACCACAAGTTGATAGAGTTTTACAAGGTAATACAACACAATGTGTTCGTATCTGGAGTAACATCTATCCAGTGTATCTCCCACTAATCGGCTATTTTCACACGTTCTTTCTAGATATGTTATTACATAGGAACTTTCTATTGTGCCTGCAAACTACAAAATGAAGATTTTCTGTGAATCAAGTGCACTGTAAAAAAACTAGAACAATACTAGTAAGATGAAAAATTTTATTAATAGGTAAACAAAATTAAATTAAAATGTTAAAAATTATTTAAATTAGCTCAGTTTTATAAAGCACTCCAGCAGCTGAAGTCCAATCAAATGTTTCTAACCCATATTTAGCATGTATTTTTAACCTTTTTAGATTCCACAAAATATAAATTTGCATGCTTTTGCAATATTTTTTTTCTCAAAAAAATTATGTAAATTTCGTCCAAAATTAACATAAAAGTAAAAACAATTTTGACGGGGAAAAGTGGTGGTGTTTGAACAGAAAAACATTTCTTTAGGTTCAAGGTACCAAAACATCTACCGTAGATTATAAGACGTTAAATCGTTATCATTTGTTTTTCTAAAGACCTCAAATAAAAGAATACTTACCTTAGCAGCAATTCCTTTATGCATTTTAGCCCACGTATAAATCAATCTTAGATAAGATATCATGAATGGGTATGGGGAACCATTTTGAATACAGGGATGCCGATTATCGTCTAGTGGATGACCACTCAAATCTGGTAATGAAGCACATCCCGTTTTCCGAGGTCTGTCTTCATCATTTATCTTGTAGGAGGAGTATGTTCTGGTGCAAAAATAATATGCATAACAATATAAAAAAACAGCTGAACTGTAGAATAAAATCTGCCACAGATTTGACTTGATTTGATATGATGATTTGACCACAGACTGTATGTAGACTTGACCTACCTCAGATTAATAACATAGTTGTAAAAATTACCAGACTTCATGAATGGTAAAACTGTTTTATCAACAATGGTCTCTATATGCTGGAGGACATCTGGGGCGTTGTAAGATGTCTGCAAACAAAACATTGAAAACAAGCCATGCATGGCACAGTCCCCGTTAGTTATCAAATTAAGATATATAGTTTTGTTTATAGTAATATAGCTGGAATATAACCATGTCAGGAATATGATTTTTTAACATTAAAATGATTGATATTTGTATCGGTTCGTCAAACAAGTACTTGTCCATATCGAGAGATATTGCTCTGGAACAGCATTGAAAATCAGCCATTTTGAATACATGTATATATAACATGATGTATATATAAAATTTGAATATAATCAGTCAAAGCATTTAAGAGATATGGCTCTAGAAGCCCAAACATTAAAACAAAATGGTCACCAGTCAGCCATTTTGAATCCAATCTGAAAAATAAAATGACGTGCATCAGGAACCTGTAATGTCTAATGTAGGTACCAAGGTTGAACGAAATCCATCCATAAATGCCAGAAATGTTTGATAATTGATGATTTTTTAGCACAAAAATGACCACCATTCGGCCATTTTGAATAGGATCGTCAAACCAATATATGTTTATCTATGACATGATGTATAATAAATATTTAAAATTTGAACATAATCAGTGAAAGCAAGTCAGAGATATGGCACGAGAACCACATTCATTAAAACAAAATGGCTGCCAGTCGGCCATTTTGAATCTTATCAGAAAAACAAAATTATTTGCATCAAGGTCCCATAATGTCTAATGTATATACCAAGTTTGAACAAAATCCATCTGTAAACAGCCGAGAAATGCTTGATTTTTAGGATTTGTTAGCACAAAAATGGCCGCCATTCGGCCATCTTGAATCAGATCGTAAAACAAAATAATGTGCATCAAGGTCCTATAATGTCTATACCAAGTTTGAACAAAATCCATCTGTAAACAGCCGAGAAATGCTTGATTTTGATGATTTTTAGCACAAAAATGGCCGCCATTTGGCCATCTTGAATCAGATCGTGTGCATACCGGTATGTATAATATCATGTATGATGAATGTGTGAAGTTTGATTGTGATTGGTCCAGGCATTTCTAAGATACAGGTCTGGACGCACGAACAGATGCACGCACGCACACACGCGCACGCACACACGGAGGTCAAAACATAAGTAACATTAAAGGGTCATGTTCTGTCATTTTTAAAATTGTTTTTTATTAATTTTAATCCATGTACCGGTAATACTGATCCAGAACGACATATGCTTTAATAAATCATGTAATATGATAATTACACGTCAACAGCTGGAAATGAGTCCTTGTTTGAAAAATAATTAATTTTCCATCCATCTACATGTAGGTACTGCTTCCAAGCGTATAATTATTTACAGGTACATAATTATGTACATCTGAACATTTTATATGTATAATATAAGTATATTAATTCAATATCACAAAGGTCATTTCGGTTTCGTATTGCAAGACCAACAATACAACTCATAAGCCATTAACTAGGGGTGTACATTATGACATATGCTCAAGCTGCATGTGAATGGTCTTCATTGAACATAGTCTGAAACAAGGATTCCATTCATTTGTCTATGTGATGTCATTTTATCAAGACATGCCTGGACAAATTTTGTCCAAAGTCACAATGGTCTACATTTTACCATGTCATCAATCGTTTCTTTGACATATATTGGTCATTTTATGCAAACTTGGTATGAACATCATATATGATGGTTACTGATGTGCGTGATTTGATTCAATATGGCTAACTGGCGGCCATGTTAGTACTATTTTCTCATTCACACTTTGACTGATTTTATTCTAAGTTACAAAGACAAATGTTATTCAAACGCAGTTTTGTATCAATATGTCATCAACTACTCTGGTGTTTCTTTCAAACTTGGTGCTCTATACTCTATATGGTGAAAACTTGTGCAACCTACATGATTCTCATGAAGAAATGCAATAAAGTAACGGTGTGAATAAATCATCAGATTCAATGACTATGTGGGTTTCTTTCTCAATATTTGAATGCACTACATTTGCAACCAATCCTACCCATATGGACTGGGCGAAATTCCATATGCTTATTTTTCCAGTTCAATATTACAAACAAACATATCCACTTATATGATATCTAAAGCCATGTATTTCTTTTTCAAAGACTTGGACTTTGACCTCTTATTTCTTGTAATTTAGTTTGTTTAAACGGTAGACATTTTATTGTAAATCATAAAAATTCACAAATATGATTAAAATAAGACGATGAGTACAAGCAACCAAGTTACAAAATGAGTTCTTCCATTTACTGAATATATGTGAATATACAACAATGATAGATTAATACAAACCTGCTGTGTTATCTTTATGTAGAATGCAGACATGGCATTAATACAGCTGGCTGCCAGCATTAAACCCTGATCTGAGAGTGGTTCATCTGTACGGCTTATCTCAGTTATCCATCTATGGTAACACAATTCTATTGGTGCAATAAAACCAGTCACATGACTCCAGTCAATGGCGGGAACTGGAATCGTTGGTTTTCTTTCATTCACGTCTTCCTGGGGTCTTAAAATCAGCAGTAAATAACAAAAGTTATTAAAACAGGAAATGAAGTGTTCACATATATTAAGAAATAGATCAAGAAATGCAAGTTAAGTTAAAACATCTTTTATCATAATTTTCCACAATTTGAATGTGCCGAAAGAAACAATATCTGGTCATGTTAGTTTTATTTTCACAATTCAAATTAACCTAATCTTGATCATCTTTTTACATCACTAGTATTATATTACTATAATCCTTAATCGTTGAAAATTAACTTTTGTAAACTTGTACATTTGTATAATCCCTTATGTTCAAAAAATTGAAAACATTAACATTAGTACAATACTCGCAGTGGTCAGTTCTCCCAGTGAGTTGTCAATATGAAATGCCCAAAGTTTCATCAGCAAAATTGAGAAATGTTAATGAAAAATATTTATGAACATTTAATATCACCCAGACAGGATAAAATACATAAAACATGTCACACATATACTTGAACTCATCAGTAATTCCATAAATCTATTTTCCTAAACGTTTTGATGATCTGCCCACAGAAACACACTGTCACATATTCGAGTACTGGACTATTAAAATGCTGTAATAAGTTTGCCAATATGTATCCTTCCACAATTCACTGAACATCACTTGAATATTTTGGTAAAATTACAGACACTCATATCATAGATTTTACAAATACATGTACATACATTTCATTCCAGTATTTAATCTACACTCTACATAATCTAACCAAGGGATG